CTAAGCAGAACCACCACTCCAAAATACAGTCCCTAATCCCCAGGCTTTATCAAATGAGAGCACTAGGACTGTTTATCCAAGGGAGTTGGCTTACAATGTAACTGCTTTTCTGTTATTTAGACTTTTGTTTAACAACACACAGCAATCTTGGAGATCAGTCCGTAAGAGTAATAAGAAAATATATGGGAATTATTCAAGAATATATAACAATTTAAAGGGATTTGCAGCATCCAGACTTTCAGTTTAAAATGAAAAATACTTTTAGTGCTCAACACAACTTTAAAAAAAAAAACTTTTTTTTAATAACAAACATTACATGATAATTCCTAAAGCAAATTGTTCAATTATTTCCCACATTGATACTGGTGCTACGGCACAGCTTTGCAGCATTCTTTCTTGGTTCTTAACATCCCTTCAGAAGTCTTGTACTGTGAAATTCCTTGCTTAGAAAAAAAAATTTCAGTTACCTAAAATACTCATTAAAGGCACAGTCAATGCAAAACTTCTTTTAAAAGGCCAAAAATAGAACAAGGTCTCATTACACCAAAACATTAGAGAAGAATCTATTGCATGGCTTTTGAAAAGCTAGGTGTAGAAAATACAGATAGACCAGTCTATAGCTGAACATGTGGGAAGACAAGCAAACATTACAGATTGATTTGATAATATTAGGAAACAGAGGTAAATATCAACCTAAAACACAATACCATGAGTTAATGATCATCATTCCCCAAATTTTTCCATGAACTTAATTTTCCATTAAAATCATTTGCTAGCTTCTGCATAAAAATAAAAATAAAAATAAAAATAAAAATAAAAATAAAAATAAATAATGCTGTTTTGTGGGAGGAGAGAGAGAGAGAGACAGAGAGAGAGACAGAGAGAGAGAAAGTAAGTCTTGGTCTCTGGAGTCCTAATTAGGAGTTGCTTTATTATAGGAAAGACATTAAAAGCAGTGCTAGAGATTCACATTGGGACTAATCTCCATTTAAATCAATAGATTAATGCTCAAGCCAATTTGAAATGAAGAAAACAAGAAAATGATCGTTACCTGAAAAGCAAGACCTTATAGTGGCATAAAAGAGTAAATAATTGTGATAGAAAGAACCCCAAAAACCTAAAATTCTGTTTTTTAAACCTCTTGGACTCGACTTTCTGTTAGTTCTAGACAACAAAGCAGCTCCCATTACACTTCTCAATTTAGATAGGCAAGTAGATTAAGCACAAAATAAGAAAGAAAGAAGTTTGCTGAAGAATGGACAGAGGTCTTCCACGAGTCCTGCAATGCCTTACCCCTATTTGTGGGGTGGCAGACAAGGGGCAAAAGAAAAGAAAGGGAACTTTTAAGGAAGAAGAACAACTACAGATGTCTAAAGCTTTTCTTTAAAGAAATAATGGAAGGGCAAGCTTCTATATGCGATGTACAGACAATTGTTTTACGGTTATAAATTTAACTATTACATTGAGGAAATGCAGAATGAGAATACGTATGTTGAAATTAAACTGTTCTGTCCACTAGGCACAAGTGGTTGCTTTATCGTTTAGATAAGATCAGAATATCCTTGTAGTACTCTACAAGCTATACAACTCCTAAGAACCCTTAATGAGCAATTTAAGAAGAGCGAAAATACTCAAATTCAAGCCTTAGTATTACATGAATTAAATTGACAATAAAGGAGCTATTTCTTTTAGGCATGGGATTTTTATTTTTGTTTTTCCTTTCAAATCCTCATAATGGAGAAGAGCAAACATCTAAGTCTCCAGATATTTTCCCATATGCATTTCTTCCATTTTGGATTAGATTAAAATAAGATGCATACTTAAGTTCAATTGCCAGCAAAAATGTATAAGTGAAGTTTTACCAACAGCTCCAATAGTAAAGTGACTTTTACTATTAATTATAGGTAGAAATTGTGAATGTCAGTGCCTTTTACTTCAAACATCATTAATACTTAAACAATGAATGTACATTATATCAATCAACACTTTCATTAAAGCTAAGCACCAATACTCTGTGGAAAAGTATTTTAATTTTTTTATGTTTTTTTCCTAAAGTCCTATGACACTATTTGATCACCACTAACTAGCCACAGCGTAGAAACCTCATTCTAATACAGAAATGTTGAACAAACTATATTGTTTGCTCTTCCCCAGCCTCTTTCAATGTAAAGCATTTAGACATTGCATGGATATTCAAAAAAACATTGTTTTTAGTGCAAACTGGCCTTCTAGAGAGTATTCATTCACCAAAGCAAAATGTTAATCATTGTCATGTGTGTTTTAAGCCAAATATATGCAGCGGTTTTTTTTCTCCTTTCTGGGTTAAAGCCTTCATTGCCAGATGGGCACTTGAAACCTCCAGAGATCATTTGCAAAGCTGCAGATAACTGAAAACAGAACATAAGCCAGTCCCCAATAGTTCATATTACACGGAAAGTACTTCCCTAATGGTAGCATTCTCCTATTCACGTTTAAGCTTTCATATGCCATTGATTTCCATTTTTGGGATACTGATAAAGACGACAAAAGCCTTCAAAGATAACTGAATACCCAGAAGCATGAGAAATAAACTTAAACTTCCTTTCCATCAATGTCACAGGACAAAGTTACAGTCAGTGCCTCCTGGAGCTTAACTTCTAGCAAGAACATTCTTGTCTATGCATCTCTCGAGGTTGAGAGAGCTGGGCCTGTTCAGCCCTGTGCCATGTGCTCTAGATGACTCTGTGTGTGCAGGGGGGTTGGACTAGGTGACCTCTGGAGGTCCCTTCCAACCTCAGGGATTCTATGATTCTACATACAGAACACAGATGAACAGGCTGGACAGGACCTTTGCAAACATTTCCTCTTGTGCTATTGGTAGCTATTCTGGCGAATGGAATAGCTCTCTCCAGCCCCAGCGCCTCACTGCAACATCCTTTCAGGCAAACATAAAGAGCAATAATGTCTTCCCTGAGCCTCCTCTTCTCCTCACTAAATAACCCCAGCTGCCTCAGCTGGAGAGTGAATATGCTATTCAGGTATAATTGTAATTAAATCTCACATATAGTTGAGAAGATACATTTTCACTCCTATGTGTACCCCTTAAAAAGGGGGTTGTTATTCCCCTGAGGTGAGCAAAGCAGTAAGAAAGTAGCAAGTTCCTTCGGTGTCTTCATTTTCAGAAAGAGGCAAGACATCTATTGGGCAACTAGGAAAGTCCAGAAGCAGCTGAAGTGCGTTCTCCAGGGGAGACGTCTACACTCCCACCCCTCACCAAGGCTCCTCTTCCCCACCCACCTGCAGCATCCTCACAAACTAGAAAGTTAACAAATTTGTTACTTATTTGTTTAACCAGATAGCACACCACAACACATATTTGATTTACACTGGTCTGCATTTTGAATTTATGTTTTCTCCTACAATATTTATTCTTCTTTTACATACAGAAAACTGTAATGTATTTACTGGAAGATTAGCCCTAGTCAAGGATGCATAATATTAATTATTCTATCAACCTGCATTGACACACTGAATTTAACATGTCACATTGAATTACTGATACTTTTCCTCACCTTACTGAGTCAATATCGGGCAGAGAAGAAATCTGCAGTTTAGTAGACACATTTTCTAAACATCTGCTTCCTTAGCTATGGTATGGTCACCACTCTGAATGGAACAACACACATCATAGCTTGTGCATTTTGGTCCCTGATTCCACACTTCATAAATATTTAATTAATTCTTTGTTTTTTTTACTTTTTTTTACTTTTTTTTCTTTTTTTTGCATTCTATTGTAAACAATGTGGTTTTACTAGTATACCATAGAACGTGTTCATTTTTCTGTACTATATTAAAATTTTAATTGTCATAAAAATACAAAAAGATTCTAGCTTTGCAGTGTTCTTATAAAAGCCAGAAAGAGAATATGCATCAGAACAGACATGCTTAAAACAAATTCAGTCATTCCAGGCCCAAAAATATTCAGGTGTTTTTATAATTAGAAATATACATTTTAAGAATACTATTACATCCAAAATATTTATCAAAAAAAACTGTCAGCAAGACAAGACAAAAAAAAATCTACAAGTTTCTAATTCTATTTTCATGGCCAGACAACTGAGATAATTTACAGCATGCTTTCAGCCTTTTTTGAACGTGAGGGAAACAAATCTGCTAGAGAAAACTTGACACACCACATTATCTATAGCCACCACTAGTTCAATCATAAAGGGACTACTTTGTAGAGAAATTAGGAAAAAGCAAGAATTATGAAAAGCATAAATTAAGAAAAAAAGCATAAATCACTTTAACTTATAATTAAGAAAAATCAATCTAATATGACTATATTAGCTATAACATACTGCTGCTCATCTGAGGTCAGCTACTGAATGGTCTCATAGTGATAATCCTCAATACCACAGTTGTACCTTAATACTCATGGATCAAAAAGAAGCTAGTATTGCAAACCTTTGCCTCAATACTGGAATGTGCCTCCTATCTCCGTGATGAGTTCTTGTCTATTTCATATATATCCTAGTGACAAGCAGGAGTTAGGATTCCTTCTCTGTACTAATTATTGAGTAATTAATGACTAAAATAAGCACAGAGCTATTACTTAATTCACTGTCAGCCTAAAGAGCTTAGAAGAGTAAAACAGAGACGGAAGATGACCCAGTTGTAGAAAATACAGCTTACCATCCGCCAGACTTGCAGAACTACTATTAAAATAGTAGTCTGAGCCATACATCAGTGTAACCTGAATTGCAACTTACCACATTTTAAAAGGATTTCTGCTACAATTAGGAATCCCATCGGCTTTATTTTCTTGTTTTATAACACATCCTTCAGACAGGAAAACCGTGCATACTACCTTCTGCATTAAATCTTCATAAAAACATTTATGCTCAAAACTTCAGCAGTGTGATAAATACTACGGATGAAAGATGATGTCAGATCATTTTAGTTCCCTGCCAAGCTTTCTGTGAGGAGAAAATGAAAGACTTCTTCCTCAGATTACTTACCCATGAAGTTCAGGTAGCCGTCTCCCCCAAGTGTATGAGTAATGAGACGAATCATTTTATGAAGCTGCATTCCACGATCAATAACTGGAGTAAGAGGGGAGAACACACTCATGTTTGTATACATCTCTGCGTCCATCAATCGAAATGCCAATGTCTTATCACCAACAAGTGCCTGCAAAAAAATAAATAAAAAAGCAGAAAATCTTTCGAAAGTACTTTGAGATAATAGAAGTATTAGAAGATAATAGAAGCATTTCAAATGTAAACTTTTAAAATAAGTTGTTCTCTACCAAATGCAAAATATGTTAGCATGATGCAATAAAACACAAGGGAGATGCTACCACAAAATTTTTCTAGAAACAGAAAACATCTCAAGTAAAGTTTCCAGGAAATGCAGCAAATGACTATTAACAACACTGCTGATTTGAAGGTTTAGAGACAAGACCACATGTTGTTTATATACAATTAGGAATATGATTGGTTTTCTGAGATTTCTGGGAATTTGTCAGAGAAAAACACACTAATAATTCTATCTAAGTACAGTTACTGAACAGTTACATGTCAAACATCTTGTTTTTAATACTTCCATTGACTTTTTTTACAAAAGGCACTATAAAAGAAATCAATCCCTATTATGTAGCTTAATGTAGGTTACTTTTTTTTTTAATAAAGTTTCTGATTTAAAAGTTTTTAATCAACATTTATATCAAATTGTTTTGGGTTTTGCCAATTTTTCTCCCTGTTTTGTCCACAAAGTGAAAGATAATTAATTTCCCTCAGTGCTCTCTGAATCCACAGAATCAAGCACTGGAGATTAACGCTATCCTAACTCACCCTTGTTTTTTTTATTTTTTTTTTCAGGTATACCAGCCAGTAAAACAGCTGAGTTTAATTTTGATGGAATTGTCAAAGAATACTTCACTAAGATCACAAAATAGAAGTGGAGTTTGCAATTCTTTCAGTTTTTGAAGGAAGCTGTTTTGGTGAAAAGCTCACTAAATCTCTACAACACATCTGTTACTTGTTTATACATAATTAAAAAAAAATATACAATACCTGGTCATGGCTCTCTGCATATGCAATATACTTTTCTTCAGACCGCCTATTTGTTAATGTGTAGACAATATTTCCCATATTCCAATCTTCATCCTTCAGTTCCTTAATTATCTGAATAAATAAAGGGAGGTCATTCAGAAGTTACTTTTGTTATAACTAAAAGCAAACTATTATGATTACTCTGGGAAAAGCAAAACAAGATCCTACTAAGTTGTAAACACTCTTTAAAACAGCAGTGGAAAGAAGCTTTTTAAGATTATTTATTATTTTTTGTTTGTTTGTTTTTTTGTGATCCTCTGTACTAAGGAAAAGGTGATATAAATCCTTCTTATAGTCCTTGTTTATTAGTACATCAGTACTAGTGCATTATTGCTTCTAAAGAGCATTACAGGTTTTTATTATGTTCTTTATTAACTCAACTATACTGATCATTGGTGTTAAAATTATTCCTTTGCTATGCTTAAACTTTTAGTATTACGCTCAGTGCAAACTGCTATTCACAATTTAGGGAGAGCTTATTATACCAAGGTTTTATTTATTTTAGTATTTGTGCATAGCGTTTCCCTATTTACATTCTGCATGACTACATAATCTACAGCTGTTGCAAGAGACGGGTTATTTCAAACAAATTGAACAGAATGACTAGCATATGAAAAAAAAACAAAAACTGACAAAAACGCAATTGAATAGCTTAAGACATATCCTCAGACACTAACATCTGTGCTTAATCCTGTTGGAATTTATTTTGAAAGTCCCTTAAGTTAATAAAGAACAAAATTTGTCCATAAAATTCAGAAAAGTGTTTTGTGTATGTGCACACACAGAAACCTACTACTGTTATTACAATATATTTTAAAAATATACTTTCTCACCTGAATCCACTTATCTGGAATTGCCATGGCCAGACGATAATCAAATCCCCCTCCTCCCTCTGCAACAGGCCGACAGAGGGCTGGCATTCCAGAAACATCCTTAAATAAATAAAACACAAGATAATTTGGTTATTATTGCAAGTTCAAATATTCCACCATGCAAGAATACTTCTATATAAATATTCTTTAAACAGTTTCCAACAATGACAGGGAACGTAGAAACAAAAATCAGTGGATGGTTGATAGACTCCTTTTTACACCTACTCTTGCTATTTGAAGGAAAGAGTTAAAGGGAAGTATATCTACCTTTCTCATCAAATACTCTCATACAAGGAATTTTATTAAAATAGGTATTTGAGGGGAAAGACACCTCAGTATATGTCAGTTGAGGCAGAATTTGAAATAATTAGATCTCTTGAGCTCCAAGCAATCAATATAAGGTAGTCAAAAAAAGATAAATTAAACCTTCATTTTGTTTATTGATATTTTACATAAAGAACAGCATAAAAATAAAAGGTTGACCAGTAAGGAAGAAAAATACCAGCTTACTCTTTTCTAAATGCACAATAAGGAAACTATTGATTCAGCTAGCCCTGAAAAGTGAGAAGCTCTTATTGCATAAATCTCACGTTCACATTGATGCAAGCTGATCATTCCTAATCCAAAATTCTCAAAATAAATGTTCTGTTCAACATACAATAAGATAGTTATGTCACATAGCATTCTTTCTTCTAAATTTGATTTATCTATGTAGAAAAAAAACAAATCCCCTGCAAGATATCCATCAGTATTCAGTTTTATTGTGTGAAAGAGAAATCATTCCACCAATGTTTATGGATTAAAGTACACTTTTATGTCTACACAATAAAATTAGTGGAATTAAAGTTTGACTAAAGCTAGCTAAGGCTTAGCTAGAAAATTCATTCCAGTGTGCTGGATTCAATCCATTTAAATCTAATTGTTGCATTTGACTAAATCTATATGTAGCACATCCCCAAGCAGAAAGCTTCAAATAAAATATTCCCAGTGCTACTTAAGCACTGGAGCAGGTTGCCCAGAAAGGCTGTGGGATATCCACATGTGGAGGTTTTCAAGATCAACTGGCCGAGACCAACTCGGTATAAGTTCTGTGCAGATCGTGTTTTGAGCAAGTGGTTGAACTAGGATGATCCAAGTTCCCTTCCAACATAAATATATTTATGATTTCTTCTAAGGTATTTAACTATATTTAGGCATTCCCACACAGCTTCACTGATTACTGAAATAAACTAATTTCAAAGTATAGAACTATCTATACTGAAAGTACAGCAGCATTAAAACTAAGATAGACTGTCAGGGGAATTTCTGCTATTAGCACTGTATTTTCACAATTCTGCATCTCCTCACCTAAACATCTTCATACCAAGGTGAAGTCAACTAGAGATACCATGTACAGCACAGCTCAAAGCTTAAGAGAATTTCCACGTCTTTAAATCATTTATTTATCAGGAAAGTTTCATAAAAGTTCTACAGCGCTCTAAAAGCAGTCAAATAAAAGACTAATGCCCTCCCATATATACAAGACAAGAAGATTGAAGTCATACAAAATAAAACTGGAAATAAAGCATGCAATGTTATAATGCCTGCATGGCCAAAGGAATTTGATATTTAAATAGCTTTCATCTACTTCATCCACAACTTTTGAAAACAGATTTTTAAGAAGTAAAATACCAACTAAAATAGGTAAAAAAAATACCCATCCATTTCTAAAGTTTACTTCAACACTAAAAAAGATATATGTTTGCTGAATATATACTCCCCCGAAGCAAAAGCAGCAAAGGCCAATTTTTCCTTCAGATTTGAGTTTCTCTTTAACATGGGTGGCATATAAAAAACAAAAAGCAAAGGGGTACCTTTTGCCTTCTTGTTTTAATACCTTCAGGCATGATGCAACTTACTTATTAACATTTGTTCTAATTATACAAAATTTTAATGACAGCTTTATTTGAAAGGCCAAATGAAAAATAAGCAGATAAACTAATGACTTGGAAAATACTAAAGCAGTAAATACAATATTAAAAATCTGCAAAAAATATTGATCAGTAATTAAGGAATATATTATAATTAGTTAGAAAACTTTTTTTCCTTTGGCACTCACTCCATATCATTATAGGCAAATAGAGATTCATCAGAAGCATTTATAATTGAAAATTTTATCAACAGTTTCATCCTTTGAAGTTCTCTTTTTACCACAAACGATGGTGAGGCATTCTCTGTTTGTATAGAGAGAGAGATAGCCCACAGTAAGAAAAATGATGTATTGAAATATATGTATCTTTCAATTTAAGTTAGAAAACCTGATGAGATATCTTAAAAAAAGCTTTTAAGTTAGGTAACAAAAGTAGATTGAACACAAAATTTCATTGGTAGGAAGGCTTATTAAGATTTCCTAGATTATGAACAATATTCACTTGAAACAAGCCTACAGATCAATAAAACCATTTCAAATTTATTTATCAGTAATTGCTTACCAGCTGTTAGTTTTAATACCTTGTCATTAAACTTTCAGTAGGGTTTGTCTATAACTTTGGCCTACATATCTAATGAAGTTAGCAATACTTTGTTTTCTGAAGATCAAAGTGAATCTCTTAAATAATACAAAAACCTTTATTGAAACTCTATGTACTCCCTAATGATATCAGATGGATTCAACTTTTTTATTTTAATGAAAATAAACATTTCAGTGTAACAGAGAAATCCTCAAGCATTATTTGTTCTCTTTTTGATAAAAGATAGAACACACATCAGTAAAAAAAAAAAAAAAAAGTGCCTATTAATAGTACCTTAAGGTTTCAGAGTCATACTGCTATAAGAAATTCAATACACCAATAACAAAGTTTCGCTGAGAGAAAATACATAAACAATTTAACTGACCTTAAGCTACTTATATAATACAGTCTATTTACTTCTTAGGAAAGATGGAGAAATTTAAAACTACATGTAAATTAGCATATAGTCAACATTTATTAATCACATTTATTAAAAAAATTGTCAATTATGCCCATATAATTCAAAATATGTAAAACAGCACAAGAGCTTTTATTTTTTAGTACCATGAATCACTAGTGACAAACAGCAATCATGGAAGAGCAATGATCTAATAAAAATAAATAAATAAAAAAATAATAACAAAGCAACAAAAATCTTATTACATATTCAAAGAAGGAAAATAAGTCCCACAATGTTTAATGATCCATTAGCTCAGAGAAAATCCCCAAAGTGCATATTCCAATTGTTTTTCATCCTAGACCCCAGAGGCAAAAACTGCCCACTAATTACAATTTATCAGCTTCTGTCACGCCTTGAGAAACTGAAGTGTGACTAATAATAATAATCAGGAAATATGCATCCAAAAAAAACCTAATCAATATTAATGTCAGTGACTATGACAAGTTCTGATTTTACCTCTGCTATGGTTATGCATTCCGTATGCAATAAATTAATCATGTAGTTGGCCAGCATTAAGTAACACAAAGCATCTTCATCCACTTGTAGGCCAAAATATTCATTGTAATCTCCACTGAATCCTGTGCCTAATAAAACAAGAAATTTAAAGGACATGGTAGCTTTCTTATTTTAAAGCAAGAAAATATATATTAAAAAAAATCAATTAAGCAATTTTATAAGCACTTTCTTTTTTACTCCTTATTTCTAATCTATTCACATAGCAGTAAAATAAAATATTTGTAAATCTTGCAAGTTCTCAGAGCATTCAATTAGTTTTTGTATTACCACTTCTACAGCAGTAGAGCTCCATCAGGACTGCTTTAATTAACTTGCTTCAATCACTTACCAATCCCATGATTATGATACAACATAGATGTAACACCATCAAATCGGAAGCCATCAAAGCCATAGTCTTCTATCCACATTCTCAAATTAGACAGAAGGAATCTCAGAACTTCCCAGCTGAAAGAATGTGAACATTTTTGAAAGCTTTAAAAATCTTGCAATCAACTAGATTTCCTTATGGAATATGTTCCCTGCTTGCATATACAGTAGTTACTCTAATCATTTTATCATTTTAATGATGGTCCTCCCGCCCCAGTTTCTCTGACATTCTCCCTAAAACTTTATACTCACTTGAATCTGTGCTTTACTGCATTTAAAGATAGAAGACTTTTTTTAAAAAAATAATGAGTTAGCAAATGGCTATATGAATATCCATGCTAATATTTTAATAGAAATGTTATGCTTTAGTATGTATATTTGTCACATTACATTTGCTTCTCTAAATATGATTATATTGTGGGAAAAGACCTTATAATAGGCAAGAGTTTGTCACGTGCATTTCATGTATTTAGAGCAATTTCTAGACCCATTAAAAGACTGGGAGTTCTTTATTTCATATGTTTATATGTCATCAGTAGGTACCTAACACATCACCTACTATATTAGGAAACTCATTTTAAGAGCTAATCAACTAATGAAAATTGAAGATATATTTTTTGCATTCAAGAAAGAAGAATGAGAAATAACAAATACATTAAAAAAAAAAACACAAATATAAAAGGTTCCTAATGAAGTAAATGTGTACAGGTATTTGCAGACAAAATGCCTATCAAAAGAGATAACATTCGATAAAGTTGATGAAGAGATAAAGTCGATTTTCTGAACCTCCCTCATTCAGAACATGTCTCAGGAGCTCCATACTTTGCTCCTACCATTTGCTCCCTGTGCTATGACCTTCTCAGGTGTCCTCAGCACAGGCTGCCCCAGGTGCATCTCTCTTTGCAAGGGAGGCACCTTTGGCTTCCCTGCTTGGAGCAGCTTTGCACAGGGTTTGGAAACTTCCTTTCTCACCCAAGTGTCTTCAACTTTTACCCATGTCATGATTTAAATCAATTTCCCGACATCGCAAATCTGCATTCCCACTTGCTGCTGGCTTTGTGGTCATACAGAAAAGCACATTAGGTGGGAGCATGCAGAAAAGGCCCCTCGGAGCAGCATGCGGGGTACGCTGAGCACATTAGTCAACCTTAATGCAACTCAGATGTGCATTTGTTGTCAGTAACAGCCCAAAAAAAGACGCTTTGAACATTTCATTTATGAAGCAACTACAAGCTAAATTAAACTCAGCCTTGACCAAGCCCCCTCCCTCCCAGAAACCCCCTCATATAAAAGGTGCTTTAAGACTATATCTTAAAGTATTAAATGTAGGCATTGAGATACACTATGAATTATTGATAAAATCCTGCTGTCACCAAAGGGTCAATTTCTATTTATTTCACTAGGATTAGACTATTTCTTGCCTTTGTGTACACTGCACACACACGTATATAAACAGGGGAACATTACCAAACCAAAAATTCCCAAGCGGAAATGGCAATCAGGGTATTGTCTCAACTCAACATACCTTTTCAGGTATGCCTAACAGGATAAATCTTTTTCTCTGAAACATTCCGATGACGAGACACACTAAGCTAGATATATTTAGGTAGCCTATCTACTGAATCTCTGCAATATATTTACTACTTCTGGGATGAGACAATTTGCAATGGATGAACAATAAGAAAGATAATGCTCTAATGCTGAAAGCACTTGGAAGCTATCAAAAGTCCTGTGAACTGGCAAGCTGGTTGCTTAAAATGCAGTTTTTCACAAATGCTTGTTATGCCTTTCCAACTCAGCATCAGATTTGCCAAAATGCAGTTATCTCAATTATGTGAGCAAAGTCAGAAGTATCTGCATGGTGAGAAAAATAATCTCACACATGAATAAGGTGACGGTTTATATAAAAAGTAGATTAACTGGCACAATCACAAACCAAACTTAAGAATTACTTTATCTCATTACAGAGTTGTTAACTTTATAACCTTAAAGTTATTAAGTAGGTGAGATGAATTGTACATTTGGAACATCCACAAAGAAGTACCAAGATTGTTAGTTAATATTATTATTTCCAAAGGGTGACCAAAGAATGATCTTTGGAAAAGGTTAGACAAACAGCATGAAAAAATATATAGTGCCTGCAACATGGGCAAATAACGACAGATAAGAATAAACAACATGAACTTGAATCAAAGGTTTAGCTAGAGAATTATTGAGATCAAAAACCTAAATAGGTATGGTAAATGTTTTCGAGTAACATGAATGGAATTGAGAAGAAGGAAAAAAAAAAAGTGTGTTAAATAATTAACATATCAACTCCAGTTCTAGTTTAAACTTGGAATAAGCCAGTATTAAGATTCTGAGAAGAATATCAAATCCTAGTAACCATATTGTCCTCTACAGATGTAATGACACAGCTTTAGAGACAAGAGCTGAAAGAATAACTTTTTGAAACAAAAATCACATTGAGGCTGAGGATTTCATCCAAATAAATTTGGGTGCAGAAGCACCAGTGTTAAAATTAAAGCTGACAGAAAAAGCAAGTAACCTTGCAGAATTCCAACAGAGGCCAAAATTATACCGCAAAGGAAATATATCCACTATACAGGCAATAACTCAAACATTTCTAGAAGTAGAAGATTTTCATAATTTTACACATAGATATGGAAACAGGACAGCATTCATTAAGAAAGTAATTTCTTTTCGGTACAAGCCATATCTTAAATCATATCCTAACAGTCTCACATTTTTGCATATCATAAAATTGAGAAAGAGTTCTTTGCACACATGATCTAAGAAGAAAATATATGCTGTATTATCATTAAGGAACAGATTGATTTATACTGTAAGAGTTTTAAATAATTCAGAATTCACTCTAAGGGCATCATTCAAAACAAAGACTGTCTTTGGCAAGAAGTCTTGGGTCTCCCTCTTGGGGCCAATAGCCCATACCTTTTTTCAACTGAGAAATCTGTTTTTAAAGTGAAATGAACAGATCTAGGTGACTTGGTTTCACAAGGTGATGAGGAATTTAGAAACTTTCCTACATTTCATCAGTGGAAAATCTGTAAAACTGCTTGTAAGTCACCATCATTATTTATTTTACATCTGAACTAATTAAAAGGCAAAGGTCAGTCTTATAATGTTCCTCTGCAATAAATCTGATTAAGCTATACTTTGCAAACAAAGTATGAGAAACACATTCAGCTCTGATGCTGAGAAATGTTTTCCTCTATGTTAATCAGCATCCACCATTTTCTCCGTTATTTGAAGACACTGTGTTTAGAGGATACAAAAGGATAACGACTTTAATCCTATGCAGAAGAAGTTAAACACTTCTGCAAACACAATATGCGAACACACACATCTCCACATCATTCAGCAGAACATGATATAGACGTGCACAAATCAAACAGAGCCAGGATTTGGTGCAGAGCAGCATTTCTCTCTGAAATGAACAGTGCCAAAAATGAACAGAAAAGAAGAAATATTCTCCTGGGTCACATCATAAACTGTAACCAGAAGGGGTCAGGAGCAATCTGTCACTCCTACCATAACAATCAGCCCCAGGAAGGAAAGCTTCTCCCTGCTTATCTCTTTCTTCACAGTATCAAGTACAGAGACACAATTGTCAAGTGTTACTTTTTCCAGCTTTAGGGACTATGGGAGAGAGGATCTATGAGCCTGTTTGAGCTCAGTTCAGCCAGAAAGGGAAACATGGCCATCTTATTGATGCTCTGTTAAGCTTGCTCACATTTCAGAATAAGGAATGACACACACAAGATGTTTTTTTTTTCTTTCTTCTCCTTAAGGAGAAGTAATAAAGTAATTATTTAGTAATTTAAAGTAACTATTAGAGTAATAAAAGAATACTAATTACTTTCATTGGTCAAAAATCATTATCACAGTAGAGAAAAGTTACAGGAAACTAAAGCTCACACTCACCAAATACACTTTTTAAAATATTTTTTTAAATAAATAACTGACAAAAATTGCCAAAACAATAGTATGAAGAACTGCTCCAGGGCAGCTTCTAGATGCAGGAGGCATTTAGCCAGTAAAAGTTTACAGGAAAATTGCAGGATTTCTGTAATGTTCTTCAACTGTTCTTCAAGTACCACGGCGTTATGGATATCGGTAAAATAAGTTAACATGATCAAGTTGATACTAAAATCTCCAATAAAAACCACCAACCCACAACTCATATAGTCACACTCCTTTTGATCATGGTTCAAGCTCTTGTACTGTGACTATGAGTTGAGGGCCAGAAAAAAACTTAAAAGCTGTATGTATTACTTGGAAACCACACATTCCTGCCTACGCAGGATGAGGCAGGGAACTACTATTTGCAATAGTAGCAGATCTTTGTTCACATGAGAGGTTGGAACCACATCATATCTGCTAGGGGGATTCTAGCTATACTTTCTTCAATCAAAAATTAGAGATTTCTCTATCAGGTGTGACTACCTGTGTTTGGTATTCTGCCTCCAGTAGCAGACAATTTGAAATGGTTAAGGAATTTCAAGAACATAGGAACAGTTCACAGTTCCTAGTTCACTAGTTGCCTGCTAGTACTGGCTCAAGGACTTTAACTGGGAATCTGGCTTACTACAGAGCTCTATCTACATATCTTTTAACCATTCAGGAAAGGTACACCCTTTTCTTTCCCTGAAGCCTCTGATTTTAAAATAATACCTGTAGATCTATTTCCCACAATAAAATTTCTCCTCTCTGTTATCACGATCTTCTCCTTCCCCACTTCTTGCCAAATATTAGCTGCTATTTATCACTTAATCTCTGGGAGTTTGTTTGTTTTAAGGAGAAATGGATCCATATCACGACCTTGCTCTTTCCTTTGATTAGGTTATGCTCACATTGCTATCTGAATAGAATTCACAATTTTAGAAATAGTCAATTTATCCCCTGAGGTATAGCAAAGATGTTGACAGTGCTAAACCAAACAGTTGTAACCTTTCATCTTTGCTCTCCAAAGCAGCTTTACCTTATAATGACTCTTCAGAAGAAAAAAAAAAAAAAAACCCACACAGAATAACTGCAGTACCTTAAATAATACAAGT